ACTCGTGAAGTTCACTACGAAAACCAAAAAAGAATTCAATTCAAATAATAATGATGTCTACCATATGAATGTTTATTTTTTCTCTGTAACCATTTGTTTTTATATTTCATTATGATAATTATAAGACTAGTTAAACGAAAATTTCTTTTTCCTTATACGAATTAATTAAATTTTAATTTTGTGTTCCATAAAGATATTCCATAATATTTATTTTGTGAGATAAACAATTTTAATCAAGTATAAATGATTCATTGTATACTTGTTTCCTCTTAAAAATTACAAAATTATTGAAATTGTATTATGAATCACAATTTTTTAATAACGGTATATATGCGTATTTAGAATTTCGAATTTTGTAGTTATGAAATATTTTATCACAAGCAATTATAATAAATAAAATGTTACTTAATAGATTGTAAATTTGTTCATTAATAGCTTTATCAACACAGAAATTAGTTTTAATCTAATTTGAATAATGTCCTAACATATATGATATCTCATAAGTGAGAGGATTAATTAAAAATTTATAATTAATACAGAAAAAGAAATATTATGGTTTTAATTTTCTTTCTATAAAAGTATGTATTTTATTTATACATGTACTATGTTTAATTGCAATAAAAATAAAAATTTATAATTATAAATGTATATATGAGACTATAGGTTATAAATTTTCTTTTAAAGAGTTTTTCTCACTTATTCCATGTAAAAGAAAAAGAAAAATTGCCTTAATTTAATGTAACTGTTGACTCAATTCAATAACATGACCTCCATAAATTTACTTTTAATTGTAAGAAAATGGTTGTTTTATAGCAGATGTATGTAAATATGTACAAAGAGCAATTACTTATTCTTGATTTTTTTTTCTTTAAATAAAAAAAAAATATAATTAAAGTGCGAAAAAAAATTTTCATTTTATTTGAAAAACATATAGAACGCAAATTAATTTATTAACGTGCTAATATAAAAATCACATGGAATTAAGTATAATTGTACATAAAATGAAAATATGTACAGGTACAGTAAGCCGCCGATATAACAAACTTGAGAATTTCGATTTACATTATACCGTATGTAGTACAAAACTGCAAAATATTGCGTTACATTGCAAGATCTACCTCTGTGTTATATTCATATTTATTTCCTAAAGTAAATTATATTCATATTTATTTCCCCACAACAAGTGAAAATAGTGCTTTGAAAAACAATCTATGTGTACCTACCACACTATTAAAACTATTTTCTTTCATATATGAAACTATTTCTAGGATTGCATATATTTAGGATGAGCGATTTACACAGTCTTTGAAATAAAGCAAAAATTAATTTAAAGAGAGGTTAACATAATACTCAATTTTAATAGTTAGTTGCGTGAGTTAAGAAAAATAATTATATTTTTTAATTTCATGGAATTTACCGTTAGCTTTCTGCGTTTATAGAAATTTCAAAAAGCTTACGGTTTCGGAAATATAGGGCGTCAAAAATTCAAACTTTACAAATTTCAAGAGGCGATAACTCGAGAGGAGGTGGAGATGGAAAAAAATTTTCTTCTAACGAAATAAACCATTTGTTAGTGCCTAAAAGCTACTAAAATTTCAGGCTCCCACGACATGGAGTCTAGAAGAAAAACAATATCAAAATTTGAAAAAAAAGGACTTTAGATAACGGTAAATTTGAACGGCCATTTTGTTTTTTTAAAGTTTGAGTATAGTATGCGTGATAGAAGAAGTAACCCACTGCTTTTCTGCGTTTGTAAAATTTGAAAAATGCATATGGTTGTACTACAGTAAGTAATTGAAAAATGGCATTTTTAGGGTTTTGGGGGGTATAACTTTTTGAGGGGGAGATATGTAAAAATTATGTTCAACGGAAATTAGTTTCTAGTAAGGATCTATGTACATGTAAAGTTTCAGGTTTCTATCTTCAAGGGTATAGAAGTTTTGTAAATAGACACACAGACAGACGGACGGACAGAGTGAAACTAATAAGCACTTTTTTTCAAAAATTTTTTGGAAAAGTGCTAAAAAGAAATTTTTAATTAGGCTGTAAATTTTGTACAGTATACTAATTCGAGAATACTAATCTTTGGAAATTATTTGATTTTTCATTTTCAAAAACTTACAAATTTGCAAAAGAATGAATAACTTTTAACTAATCGCGAACATTAAATTACAAACTACTTTAATAAGAAATAAGAACTATGCAACAATAATTACTATAATATGTTGAATCCTTACTGTATATACCATGTCGTCGTACCTATATTCACAAATTATATTTAAAATTTAAATATTATGTACAATTGGAATTCAATGTCAATTCAGGTTAAAATTCGTGTAGGTGGAGGTTACACATACACTGTCTCTTTGTTTTTTTTAAGACGAAGAAATATATAATACTTAATGTATCATAAAAAATATGAAGAAAAAAAAGTGTAAACGAAAAAAGCTCACAATTATTTGACTCTAAAATAAGAAAAATAAAAAGTTGATTCTTTTGTTTGAAGTCATAAAGAGATAGCAAATATGTAGGTAAGCAAATAGTTAAACATAAATAAATGGTTTTCTCTTTTTTCGTAGCTACAAATACATAACGTTCACATATACCAATATATTTGCTTATGAAAGTACACACTTATTACGTATTATTTTTTAACTAAGATTTTTCGAAAACAAAAATTAATTTAAAATTTAACAATTTTTCTGTTTTAGTTTTTGATAAGCTTTTGATTTTAAATAACAATTTACTTCATTTTCTTATTTATTTGTTACGAATTTTGTTTGTTAAAAATTGCAAATTCATGTAAAAAAAAACTGAAATACTTAATTAAGGTAAGAAGTAATAAAAGAAATTTGAAATGAAATAAAATTTCGCGGTTTTATTGTTGCTTTAAAAGCGATTTTTGATTAATAAATGAAATACACTAAGAAAAAAATCTAAAAATTCGTATTTACTTTATTCGTGTGAAATAAAAATTTTGTCACAATGGTAACTCGAAATTACTAAAGTAACAATGGTTACTTTAGAAATTGTTATCGTTCCTACTTTACGGTTTATATTTTTCCTTAGCACATCTTCGTTTCTAAAGCCCCAAATTGCTAATAATTGAAATTGTACACAACAAATTAAACAACAATCATATAGGTTTTCTCTGAGTGTATGCTTAATTTTAAAATATATTTAAATAAAAAAGAAAAAATAAATTAATGATGAATAGGAAAAGAAAAAAAAATTTGGATGATAAGTTTTTGACTTTGTTTATATAAACTTATTTTTTGTTTCTGTTTTACTATAAAGCCTTTTAATTTTTTCATAATAAAATGAAATTTTTAACTATGAATAAAAGAAATCAACAATTTTAACATTTCATAATATTAAATGTTAAAGAGTTGCGTTTGATTTTTGAAAATGACTCATTGTCAAATCAACAAAAATAGTTAGTTAGTAAATTTTGTTCATTTTTTATTTTTTCTGCTTTTGATGAATATTTTCTTTTTTTTATAAAAAATAATAATAAATTTCTTTATTAATAATTTGTTTCGATTCTTAAGAAAATTTATAGTAAACATTAAATGAATGAATTGGATTTACTAATGACGGTGTCTCGATTTGCCTAAAAAAATAAATAGTTAAAAAAAATTGAGAAATCGAAACATTCTCAAAAATTTGTGAAATTTTATACTTTAAAAAATTCTGATTCATTTTATTTATTTTATACTACAAGTTTTTGTTCATTTTTAGGTCCCATTAGAAAATCTTCTTTAATTATGCGCAAATTGAAATTTCATTAGAACAATATTATTTGAGAATAGAAAAAAAATTTGAAATTTCTTATATCAGTTTTGAAAGATGAAAAAAACCTTTTTTTTTTAATTTCAAATTTTGAAAGGTGTGATAATTTTATTTACATGATTCTTGATTTCTATTTGAACATAACGTTTTTTTTTTTAACATAAATATTTTGAAATTAACGAATTATTTTTTTTTGTTATTTTTATAGCATGTCAACAACAAATTACAACAATTTCATTTCCATGGCAACGTCAGTATAGATCTGTAAAATTTTATGCATGTTTGCGTATAGTTTTTGTTCTATGGTTATAAATGTTTCAATCGCTACTGTATTTCTAATTATTTTGTAATTTTCTTCAAACAAATAAATAAAATTATCAATGTATAACAGAAATTATTTAATAATATTGAGTAATCGCTGATAAAGATATCTTTTAAAAAATATTTTAAATAAATCACGAATCATTACTTTTAAAATTTGACTAAAGCAGTTAAATGGAAAGCTGTAGAATAAATGAGAAGTTCAGAAGCAAAGTGGCCTAACACTTCCTCTAAAATTTATAATCTCATTTATATTCATAAAAAAATTATGTGGGTTAGGCCGTTTTACTTCTTAGTCCCTGAAATAACAATTCGTTTCTTTTCTAAAAAAATCTAATTGTTACTTAGCCCATTTTTAATTGTCTTTAAACGGTATAAAAAATCTAATAAATTTTCACTAATTTTTAATACTTATAATTTTAATTACGATTTGAAAATGAAAAAAATGTAATTGATTAGGAAAATTGTACTCGCGGATAAATAATATTTCTCGTAAAACTTGCGTCTAAAAATATGCAATTTTTACTTCGAGGTTTAATTTTGTGATATGAACCATTAAGTATAGAATTCACTTAAAAAATGAAATAAAAATATTTAATAATAATTTTAATTCAAAGAATATTTTGCGTTTGTTAAAATAAAGTATTCTAGGCAAAATACAATTCAGTACCCACAGAAATTAATAAGTAATAGTTTTAATATTCGGTCTGTAAATGAAAATAACTTTAAAAATTTTTTTACATACCAAGATTCAAGATTAAGATTTTTTAATTATAACAAGAATTCTATTAAAATTTTGTTAAAAGTATGGAATACTTGCATTTGCAACAAAAATAATTTAATTTAGGTAATTATATAAAATTAGGTTTATGAAATTTTTTTCTTACCTCATCCATCTTTTACAATATTTTATCAATTTTACTCAGAATTAAATATTTTTCCTTGTTTTGTCGAATATTAGTTTATTTTAGTTTCAGAAAAATTTTATTTATAAATAATGATAATATTCCAATTAATGAGTTTGTAGAAAGATAAAAATTGAAAATATAAGTAAAGTAATCCAAATAAGTAATATCCAAAAAATACAATTAACAAAAATTTAAATAAAATTCAACAATTTTATTTTTTGTTAAAATGTAATCATTTGGAATATTTTTGATTGTTCATTATTGTCTCGTGGATGGATGACTTTTAATCAAATCATTTTCATTCTCTTTTTTTTTGTTATTTTTACGTATTTTATAATTTTAATATCACAATTTTTATTTTTTTTTATAATTTTCTTTTTTTTGTTTTATAACATTTTTTTTCTTAATTAATAATTTTTTTTTTCTTTTTGATAAAGTGCATTTTTAATATTTTAATTTCATTAATTTTTTTTATTAATTTTTTGTATTTTTTATTCGTTTTCAAAATTTCAAAATAATCGATAAATTAATTAGTGTATAAATCTGTTTAATCTATAAAATAAAAAAAAACATTTTAATGAACAACGTAAGAGGGAAATTAAATTTTTATTTTGTTACTTTTTTTTTGATATTACAACACCATAATTAACGTATATGTATGTACAGTATTTCCAGTATTTCGAATCAGTAAGTATTGTATTAAAAAATTATTATTATTAATTTAATAATTAATAAATTAATACAAAAATTATATAGGTATATGAAACAAAATTTTGTAGGAACATTTTGTGTTCCAACCCAACCCAATTTCTTTTGCTTTTTTATCTTTGTTGAATTCGAATCGGATCGATATCTTTATAAATATATAAGTACATAATATTATTTTTTTTGTAGAAAAAAAATAACAAATTTAATACAAAAACAGTTTAACTTTATTCATTGAAAATATGGAAGGAGCGAAATTCTTTTACACTAAGTATAATTAGAAAAATTTTGACTTTAATATTATGAAAATATCACTTGCTAAAATTTACTTTAGATCCAATAACTTATTGAAAATAAAAATCAAAAAATATATCGAATACTTAGCTAAAATATATATTTCGAACGTTACATACGTACTTTAATCAAAGCTCAAAGTAAATTTCTTAAAAAATTCATGGCTAAATTAATTAATATTCATTTTTTTTTTCTATTTTATTTTTTTTAACATTAAATATAAGCAAAGCAATAAGTTCAGTGATTTATTAAAAAAAAAAAAAACTAAATATATATATACAAAATAATTAACTGTGAAGGATAAAACGAAAATATTAAAAACTAATAATAAAAATCCTAATTCTCAATCAATAATCAAAATTCTCAATCAATAATCAATAATTTAAACGTAACTAAATTAAATGCGAATGCAAAAAATTTAAATTTAAATTAATGATTTAAGTAAACTGATTTCAACTTTTATTAGAAAAGCATATAGTATGTATGTATATGTAACATATATGTATATACACATACGTACAAGCAAATTGAATTTGGATTTATAAGTAAAAGAAAGTTGATATTTCTAAAGTAGATTTCCCTATTTTAAATAATTATAACATAATATGTGGTATTTAGAAAAAGTAAAACACAATGGTGAAAATGTTCACCACTAAAACTCTACATAAGAGTACGTATATAAAAAACAAAACAAAAATAAAATATGTGAATACGAGTATGTAAAGTAATCAGATTGTAATTTTATTAATTATTATTTTTGTTTATTTGTTTGTTTTTTTCTTTTTACAATCTACTTCCTCTAACATTATGCTTATGCACACACACAATATTTTTAATTAACGTGAAGGAATTTTAAGGTTAAAAAATTATTTCATAATTCCGAAACAAAATGCACGATAAAAAAAAAATAATAATTTTTTGCTTTTATTTTATATTTTCGTTAAAAAGCTTGTAAATTACGATAATTGTTGTTTTGATTTCAAATGAATAATAATTGCATTAAATTTCATTTATTATAAAATTTTTCGATTTTTTTCTTTTTGTTGTTCTTTTTTTGTTTTTCTTTTTACGAGAAATGCATTATTTAAGCGTTTATTAAAATTATTTTGTGGTGTTTTTCTTTTTATTGTTGAAAACAAATTTTAATAATCGCAAACACTGAGAAGTATTTTTTTTTCTTTTGTAAATTCAAATTGGAAAATTTGCTGATTTCTTCATTTTTTTTTGTAATTTAAAGCTGTTTAGCCGTTTATTCAAGTTTATTTTTTTTTAATTCAAATACACATGATTCGAAATTTTTGCGTATATTTTATTATTTTTGCTAAAATTTTCGCTTACATGCCAATATTTTAATAATTTTCGTTAATTTTTCTTTATTTCAAAAAACTTTTTTTAAAAGAATATTTTAATTTAAATTTCTATTTTTCCGAAAAAATCACAGATATTTTCAATTTATTTAAATATTTTAATTATTTAACGAAAAATAAAACAGAATATTTTTATTACTTGAATTTTTTTTTTAATTTAATAATAATTTTCTTTGTTTTAAAATTTCTTTGCAAAGTTCAAAAATTTTTTGTTTCTTATGTAACAGGTAACTTTTATGTATGTATGTAAAAATAAAGCACAAAAGAGTTAAGAAAAAAATAACAGCAACAAAAAATATTCGAAACTAATTTTTTTTCCTCTTTCTGTTAATTTTCATTAAATTTAGTTTATACGTCGTAGAAATTTTGTTTAAAAATTCGAAAAAAAAGTAATAGTAAGATTTGTTTTTAAACAATTAATTAAAAATTAAAAAAAATATATATAAAACAAAGAAGATATGCTTTGTTTGAATACAAAAATTAAACTATTTGCTAAATATAAAATTTCAAGTTACTTCGGTTCTCTTTAAAAAAACATAAAATTCTTCGATTTTAACCATTAAGTGCACATGTTGTTAATAGTAATTTGTAGTGAATATTTTAACCAATTTCATAGCTCAAAGTTCTAAATTTCTAATTTATTATTTGAGAACTAAAATATGCAATATGTATATTTTTAAAATTAAAATAAAATTTTAATGCAAGCCAAGATCATATATTGAACAATGTTTTTAATTAAGCTGCGAAAATTGTAGATCACCTACACATTTATTAAAAATTTGCTCAGTCATTTTTCTTTTTTTCCCCATAAAGGAGCGTTCATTTTAATTTCGTAAAATGAAAGATTTGCTTAAAAAAAATTAGTACATATCTAAATTTCAATAAAAAGAATTTCGAGGATGCAAATTTTTCATGGAAGTTTATCAAAACAAAAAAAAAAGATTTCCACAGCAACCTTTTAATATTTTTGCTATTCAGTAACTTTGAGTTACTCAAGTAATTTGTATGAATTAAAAATTTACATCTTTAATTATCCGCTAATTTATTTTAAAATTAAAAATCGAAATTCATATCGTGCATTTAAGGGTTAAATTTATCATATGTTTTTCGGAAAATTTTTTTATATACACCTACTATTATGTATATTTCATTAGTATAATTATACAAATATACATAATTATATGTATATTTATTTATACTATTTCGTTTTTAATTTATCTAAGAGAAAATTTAGCTAATATTTTTTTTTTTTTTTTAATATATATTTTCGCGAAAAATGTCGCATTTAGAAAATTAATTATATGCCACTCAATTTTTTCACATATTTTTCTCTAATAAATTAGAATTTTTATTATTTGTTAATTTATTTATTTTTCTGCTTGTTTTGCGAAAAACATTGATTATAAGTAGGCATACATTTTAATATTTTATTAAATATTTTAATAATTATAAGCTATAACTTTAATGTACATGCACATACATAAATAATTTTGATTTATAATTACATTTTTTTTTATAATAATTTTTTTTAATTAAATTAAAAATCTTTATTTTCTTATGATCACTATCAAGAATCAGATTCGAAAAAACTTAATATAAGAAAAACATTGTAAATTTTTAATTAAAAATAATAGGCAAAAAATAAATGTAATCCAAATAAATTTAAATAAATTTTTCAATAAACAAAAACAAAAAAAAAAAATAAAAAAAAATTTTTTTTCTGTTTTTACTTCCGCCGACTTATAAACAACTACTCACAGCGAGCTACGAAGATAGACTAAATAAAAATTATTTTTAATACAAAGAAAAAGAACAACAAAAAAAAGAAAAGAAAAACATTGTCAGCTGCCAAACAAGCCGCCAATTGCCAAAGTGGAAAAGTCACATTTTACATTAAAGCAAAAAAAAAAGAATTTTCTTTTGTTTTGTTGCTTGCTTTTTCACCAAGAAAGAACGAATTTAAGTAAATGGGAGCGCATAGAAAATTTTTATAAACTGAAAAATCAAGGGAGAATAAGTTATGTTTTGTATATATATATATATACATTATGATATACATATATTTTTTTAGCATAATATAATTGCAATTTAACAAAAACATAAAAATAAATTTACAGAAAATTACGCTCAATGAATTTTATCAGTAAGAGAAAAATTATTGTTAGACTTGCCGTTTTATATTCTGAACGTGCGCAAGATAAGCGTTTAATTGAATTTTTTTTAGATTACTTAGTGTATAAGAGTTTATTTTTGTAATGTCTTATGCAAATTGAATTAATATATAATATAGTGTAGTAGTAAAATGTAGTAAAAAATTAAAAATAATGAATTTTTGGAAAATAAGAATATTTCGCTTTTTTGTCACTGTCAAACCAGAACTTTCATTTTTTTATGATGGGTAATGGGCATATAGATCATTTTGAAGGGTACTGAATTTGTCACCTGCAAATACACAGCGAATGAAACGCTGACTAAATTTTGTGTATATTTTGGAAAACAGAGATGTACGCAATACGTTCACAAAATTTGTAAAATCAGATGTACAGAAAATTTGTTCTGACTCGAAAATTACATTATATGCATACAAATATATGTTATATTACTCAACGAAAAAAAAGAAGACACACGATGAGGCCTTAAATTCATGTTGAAGAAATGAATTACTAAAGTTAATTTATCTAAATTTTATTGATTAAGTAATATAGAGTTTTACTTAAAATTTGCATATTTTAAGGTCTTAATGAAAGATACTCGAGCTAAAATTTGCATTTTTTTAACATATTATATCTTCAAATTGCAATTTTTTTTAAAAAACTTGATTGAAATGTTTAAAGAAAAATTTACTCAATAAATAAAAAATGTATAATTTTTTAAATTGTGAATTCTAACACTTTTGTCAACATAATCCCGATATTTTTAATTCCTAATGAGGACAGGTTTGATGTTAAAAACGATTTTATGAAATCAATTTTTTTTAATTACACGCCTAATTATGAATATACAAAATGGAAAATACCTAATTACTTTTTTAAAACTTGGTTTTTCAAAACTTTAATAATATATGTATGTAATTAAAAGTACATAGCTTGTTAAATACCACCGCACTTAACACTAATTAATGCAAAATAAATTCTCAGACATAATTCTTTTTGCAATATATGTGTGTGTGTGTAAATAATGTCAACAATATTGGTTGCAACTAACTTAGATTTAATTATGGGCTTGAGTACTGCTCGCATAATTTTGCATAAAGCATTTGTACAGTAAAAATCAATAATAAATTTAAAATCAAATTTAGTGCAGCTATATTATATTCATAAAAACTGAAATAATATAAATTATATTAAAATAAAAAAAATGGATTTGGTTAAAGGTAAAATTCAGGTAAACCTTTTCCCGAATAATTTAGATATTATAATTTTTGTATACTTACTTATACATTTGTATTATTAATTTTATGTGTAATTTGATATAATGACTTTACAATTGTGAAAATGAAAATAATTCTTTTAATATCCTGAATTAAATTTACTTTAATTGTTTATATTTATATTTACATAATATTCTTGTATTGAAAGCAGGAGTTTTGATTTATTTTGATAAGTTTACATTTTAATCAATAAAACCGGATTTATTTGTTATCCATGAGGATGTATGAATACATTTCTTCAGAAGTATTCGCGTATTATTGTTAGTACTAGTTAGGCAGTTAGTTAGGCAGTGTATTTTGGAACACCATTCGAAAAAAACTAATAAAATTCGAAATATTAGAAATGTTTTAAAAGAATAATTGAATAATAAAAATATTTTTTTTTTTACAAGATTTTTGTATTAAAAATAAATTAAATTACTCTTGACAAATTAAAGGCTGTAATTTTTGAATTTCCTTAAATTAGCAATTATAAATTTTATTATATATTAATTTTGGAGAGCAAATATTCTTCTGTGTATATTGGTTTGAAATTTTCTTATTTATCAAAATTTATTTAGATTTGTGGCATGTCACATAAATAATAAGCGCATTATAAAATAAAATGCATATATGCTCCTTTTACGACTTTTTTTTCAAAAATACTTGAAATAAATAAATTATCAAAGCACCCAAGTGCCTGCCACTCGAGTGACAAAAAAAAAACGGAAACAAAAAAAAAAACTTTCAATTAATTGTTTTATAAAAAATATTTTAAAATTTACATGTTTACCCCAATTTTTTCATATAAATCTTGTAAAAACTAAAGAATGAAAATATTTGCATTGTGTCAAAAACTTTAAGGTATGAGAACAACATAAAAAAAAAATAGAAAAAGAACAAACACACTTAAAAAAAAATCATTATATTTTCGGCAAACATTTTTATTTAATTTTTTTTCTCTACTTTTGTTTTTTTTATACATAACCTTAAAGATGAGTATCTGTGCTACAAAAGAAGAAAAAATTGTTTAAATAAATTGAACTTTTCTTATGTATACCTAGTAGATTCACCAAAACACTACTCGATTCTTTTCTACATACATAATTTTCTTTTTTACTTTTTCATATTTTCTTTGCTTGCTGTCTTTTTTTTTGTGTTTTTTTTATAGTCAACCACCATCATTTGGTTGGTTATGGTTCATGTGTAGTAGATAGAGAGAAACTTTATTTTTTTGTTTAGATTATCATCGTTAATATAATAGCAACAACAAAAATAATATAACAAACAAACGATCAGTGAAAAAACATAAAAAAGCGCAAAAGAAATAAGAAAAATAAAAGAGGTTGAAGAAAAAGTGGGTCAATTAAAAGACCTTAAGTATCTCGTTATAATCGCGTACTATATAAGTGTAACTTGATGATACACGGGTCTTAATACAATAGAAAATTGTTATTAATATTAATTTTTCATTCTTTTACTTTTTTTTTTGTTTTTTGTATTCTGTGTAGGTTAAAAAAAATTTTATTATTATTTTAGTAAATATACAAGATGAATAAATTAAAAATGAAAGAAAATTACACTTTATTCCTATACTGTTCTTTTTTTTTTATTACAGAAAAGAAATAAAATAAAGAACAGTTTAAAATATAAAGCAAAATTAAAAACTTTTAAAATTTCTCTACTTTTAGAATAAAAAAAGGCTTATAGTACACATATTGTTTCAAATATAATTAAAAGTGAAAAACATTCATCTATCAACTTCAAATCGTAAAATGAAAATAATAATACGTAAAATTTCAAATGTAAGCAAAAATGTTAATTTTTTTCACACGTTGTTTTTTATACATACTTAATACCCACTAAAACCATGTATTTCCACACATACTTATAATACATATGTATGTACATTTATATTTCAAATTTACAAATTAATTTAATTTCCTTAATACATAAGTATGTACATATATATATACATAGTTACATTATTATTATATAAGTATGTATGTAGCTAAATTTTATACTTAAGCCCCTGACATTTACGTTTAAAAATTAATCAAGGATGTTACGTATTATTTTACTTACATGAAATGCAATATAATGGTATATAATTATCATTTGTAATGAAAGAATGTAAGAAAGAGAAGAGAATCAAAAATGTGTACATAAAAATGCATGTATATACATATAAATATTATTTTCACTATTATTTTTAACTGTTTGATTATTGTATTTTATATAGCGTAAAATTTAACCATTATTTACTTACGTCAATTTTATTATTAACGTTTACAATAATAATTTCTTTCTCCTTTTTAACTCTTATTCTGCATAATATAACAAATATTGAAAGTATTATATGCTACGCTACCATAAAATTTCCGTATTTCAATTGTCAAAATTTTTATTTTTTTTTAAAAACAAGAAAAGTAAAATATTTACAGAGTGTTTACGTATATATTTACGGTGAACAAATTTAATACTAAATTTAAATTGTTTTTAATGTATTTAAAAGTAATTTATGGTCTTTCTGGACACAAATTTCTCAAATGTAAGACTCTAGTTAACACTTAAAATTGAAATTTAACAAATTCAAGGAAAAAATCTTTATATGAGATAATAGAAAATATTGAGGCGAATTAAACCAGTTTTAAAATTTTCACAAACATTTTTTTCAAATTTATTCTCAATTTCCTACTAGTTTCTTATCAAGTATTTTTGATTAAGTAAGTATACTATCTTAGTTCACATTTCAACAAAAAAGAATATGGTAAATGACACACCTTATACATTTTATATATTTTTAATTAAGAAATAAATACAAGAAAAAAATTTAAATGAAAAAAATTTTAAAGATTTACAACATAAGTATATTAAATTTTTTCTGAAACAATTTTCAAAATTTTTCCATTAACCTTTTTAAATTTACTTAAAGAATTGGTAAATTAATTAAAAATACATTTTATGATAACATTATTGCAATTGTAGTAATTTACATACCAACTGTAACTATAACGAAAAATAATTTTGTGCTACAAATTGGAAATGAGTTAAAAATTATTTTATTTTAAAGGATAGGTGGAATGGTATAATTTAAATTACTTTTTTTGGTGTACAAGGAATATTTACAGTAATTTTTAAATTGAAATGAAGAATTTTTAATTAAAAAGTTTAATATTTTTTATTTCTAATTAATATTAAATTTATTGAATCAAAAAATATCAGGCTTAAGTCAATTGATTTCTGCGTTAAAAGAATTTAATTATTACGCAAATTTTAAATTACTCAAATTCGAATTTTGTTATTACGATTTTAAATTTCAATATCTAAGTAACAAAAATTTTAACTGTACTAAATAAAAGATGAGGTAAACAGTT